CACTGAGGCTTCTGGCGGCGACAGTGGCTCCTTTGGGTGCCTGTGACTCCGTCCTCATAGGCAGGGTATGGAAAAGTGCCCTGCAGACCTGGTGCAGGGCAGGCATTTGACAAGGTTTTCTTTGGGCACTGGGCACCACACTGTGTGTGACACTTGGCCAGGCTGCCTGTGGTCATGTGAAGAGTCTGATCAGCAGGCCGGTCATCCAGCTGGGCCCCTCTGGACGCAGCCTGGGACTTGATTTCCTGTGTGGGAGTGAGGAGGCTGCCTCCCTCCCAGGGGCTGCAAAGAGTTATAAACCAGCAGAGTCCCTGCTTCACACATGGCTGAATGTCAAGGGCAATGTCAATGCCTAGTTTCATTTATTTAGTCGTAGCTGGGTGGCCACCTGAATGTTGCTATGGACACTGTAGTTCCCGAATTCCCTGACTTTTTTACATTGTTGTCTTTATTTATTTATTTATTTTTAGCATATTTTATTGATTATGCCATTATAGTTGTTCTATTCCCCCCTTCATTTCCCTCCACCCTGCACACCCCTCCCCCACCATTCCCTCTCCTTTAGTTCATGAACACGTGTCTCAAGTTCTTTAGATTCTATATTTCCCCTACTATTCTTACCCTCCCCCATCTATTTTCTATCTACTGTCTATGCTACTTATTTTCTGTACCTTCTCCTCCCACTCCCCTGTTGCTAACCCTCCATGTGATCTTCATTTCTATGGTTCTGCTCCTGATCTAGCTGTCCTCTTAGTTTGCTTTTGTTTTAGATGTAGTTCTTAATAACTGTGACTTTGCTGTCCTTTCACTGTTCATCTTTTTTATCTTATTTTTCTTAGGTAAGTCTCTTTAACATTTCATATAATAAGGGCTTGGTGATGATGAACTCCTTGAATTTGATCTTATCTGAGAAGCACTTTATCTGCCCTTCCATTCTAAATGAAAGCTTTGCTGGATAGAGCAATCTTGGTTGTAGGTCTTTGGTTTTCATGACTTGGAATACTTCTTTCCAGCCCTTTCTTGCCTGTAAGGTCTCTTTGAAGAAATCAGCTGAAAGTCAGATGGGAACTCCTTTGTAGGTGACTGTCCCCTTAGCTCTTGCTGCTTCTAGGATTCTCTCCTTCATTTTAATCTTGGCTAATGTAATGATGATGTGCCTTGGTGTATTCCTTCTTGGGTCCAACTTCTTTGAGACTCTCTGAGCTTCCTGGATTTCCTGGAAGTCTATTTCCTTTGCCAGATTGGGGAAGTTCTCCTTTATTATTTGTTCAAATAAGGTTTCCACTCATGGGTGTTCCTCTTCCCCTTCTGGCACCCCTATAATTCGGATGTTGGAGTGTTTAAAGATGTCCTGAAGGTTCCTAAGCCTCTCCTCATTTTTTTGAATTCTCGTTTCTTCATCCTTTTCTGTTTGGTCCTTTTTTTCTTCCTTCTGGTCCACTCCTTTGATTTGCATCCCAGTTTCCTTTTCATTACTATTGGTTTCCTGTGCATTTCCCTTCATTTCAATTAGTTTAGCCTTCATATGTTCCTCTAATTTGTGACTAAAATCAACCAGTTCTGTGAGCATCCTGATCACCAGTGTTTTGAACTGTGCATCTGAAAGTTTGGCTATTTCATCACTTAGATTTATTGGCTCTGGTGCTCTGAGTTGTTCTTGAGCTATGTTTTGATTTGTTTGTGCCTGTTACATATGAGGAGTGGAGCCGTAAGTGTTCACCAGGGGGGAGCCACCCAGGTTGCTGAGTTGTGATGCTGTATGTGGGGGCGGGATCAGAGAGGGACAATAGCAGTCCCCTCTGCCACTTCCTACCACTGGGGCCTGCGTGGTCCGTCTCACCATCGCTAGCTCCTTCACTGGTTTATCTGTATGCGAATGGTGACCACGGTCCACCCTCAGTGGGTCCACCCGCTTCTCCACACCTGGGATCCGCCCATAGCTGCTGGAGTACCTGGGTCACACACCTGGTCGATCTGGTGGATCTTTCCTGCCCGACCCCGCTCTGCTGTTGGCTCTGCCCCTGTTACCGGTTTGGCTGAAGGGTTCATTGTTGTCAGACTTTGGTGTAGTTCAATTTTCTGTGGTTTGGCTGCATTTTTGTTGCTAAAACTATGTTGTTTTTAAACTTGGTTGTGCGAGAAGGCGCAGTGCTTCCACCTACGCCTCCATCTTGGCCGAAGTCCCACATTGTTGTCTTTAAAGGAGGCTTTAAATCCTTTGAACTTTTTCATATTTGAAAAGTAACTAGGAGAATCACATTCAGTTGCAGCCTTTAAATTTTTAAATTTATTTATTGATTTTTTTCAGGTGAGATGAATGGACGGGGTGATAGAGAGAAATAGAGAGCCAGAGAGAAGGAGAGAGAAACATCGGTTTGTTGTTCTACTTATTTATGCATTCGCTGGTTGATTCTTGTGGAATTTGATGGGGAGGACAGTAACTTTATATTTGGCTTTTTGAGAAATTGCCGAAGTCTTTTCCAAAGTGACTGCACTGTCTTACACTCCCATCAGTGTCATTTGGGAGTTACCATTTCTTCACATCCTCACTGAGTTACTGTCTGACCTTCCATTACAGCTGTTCTGGGGGGCGGTATGAAGAGGCACCCCATTGTGGTGGTAAATGTTCTTGCCACATGACTGATGAAGTTGAGCATTGTTTCATGTGCTTAGTAGCCATCTGCATAGTTTCTTTGATGAGCTGTTTGGATTTATCCTTTGCCTTTGGATGAGGTTGGCTAATTGTTGAATTATGAGGTCTCCTAAGCGGTCTGCCTGCTCCTGTGTATCAGTGTTTGAACCTTTATTTACAGAGTTCTACCAGGTTAATGTCTCTGCATGGCATCATACCTCACTTACAAAAACTCCTGTGTAATCCATCACTTAGAGTTCAAACTCCCAAACTTGACATTCAGACTATTGCATGACGTGGTTCTACGCTCTCATAGCACCTTCAGTGCTGAAGAAGGACTCAGTTGTGTTCTCCTGTCCTTCTCCTTCTGGGTGCCCGTGTCTCGTCTGCTGTCTTTGCTCCCATCCATCCTGCAAGCCCAGAGCCTCCTCCCCCAGGAGTCTCCCTCCGAATCCTCCAAGGGGACTCTCTTACCTTTCTCTGACCTCCTGTAACTCTGTATCTGTTCCACTGTCCTGCTGGCCCATTTCCCTGACCTACCTGCCTGTACACCAAGTGTTGTTTTAGACATTTTAAATAAAAATGTTTCTCGCCTTCCCCCACCACTCCCCGCCACCAATGTCAGTCTGCTCTAGTTCTAACCTCTTCAGAGCAATCACCAACTAGGTACGGAGAGGTTTGTTTGATTTTGCATCTTGGACTTTCACTCTTCTTATCCCCCACCATGCGGCCAACATGTGCCGCACCTCCGACAGCGAGACCACGCGTGGCCTGTGGGTGGGTACCAAAGGCCGGTTTGCTTTACCTTGGCGTGTTCCTGGCTAGGTCTGTCCTTGGGCAAGCCACAGGCCAAGAAGAGCCCTGCAGGCCATCTCTTACATTCCTAACTCCAAATTTAGGAAGTTATAAAGCTAAATGAAATATTATTCAATTTTTTCCTCTTTTTCTGGTCAAATGCTTTAAAATCCTATATTACTGTAAAATATCTATTTTTGGTCAACATTCTCCACCCACTCCCCCTTCCCCCCCCGCCTGGGCCTTGTTGTGTGTGAACTGGCTTTGATTCGGCACGTAGGTGTGCACACGCGCAGGTGTGCATGTGTGTCTATGCGTCTGTGCACACCCACCACGAATGTTTGGGGAGCACCCAGATCTTGGCTCCTTGTGGTCCCTTTTCTAAAAACTGAAACTTGCTTTGGTTTCATTTTTTATTTTAGTAACCTTTTTCTTATAATAATAATGATGGTAATAAATATGTTACATTTGTCCAGAAAAGAGACTGGGAAACTCCCAGGGAGCTGTTGTGCTCTTAATATTTTGATGTTCAATTCTAGTCCTTTCTTCCTGATGCGTATATAATTTTCTTTCGGTTTCATACTTAAATTTTTTTAATACTTCATACTGATTTTAATACACCAATGTCTTCCCATTATTTTCATAAAATTACTCTTTATGAAAACATTTTCATGGCTGCATGGTGTTGTATTGAGTTGTTAAACCCGCCCCCTGTGATACACATGTAGGTTGTGCCTCTTCCTTCACAAATACAGAGATGGGAAGGATGCTGAGGCCCCTTTCACAGCAGGCCACCTCTGGTCAGAGGTGACAGCACAGTGAATGGGAGTCACGTCTGGTCCCCGGTGTCATTGGGTGAGCGTTAATGGTCTGACCCTCCCCTCTGCTTTCAATACCTGGTCTTTTCCCAGCAACAAAGCAAAATAAAAATAACACATTCCCCGCCCCCCCCAAAAGTGTCACTCTGACCACACAAATTCAGTTCACACCCTTTCTCTGTCTATACCTTTGCTTTCTGAGCCCCCAGCTTATAACTGAAATCAACTAGCAGCTTTGGAATTTAGCATGAAGGGAATTTATGAGGATATGATGATTAAGGATTGAAATGAGAGTCCAAGAGTGGAAAAGTCTCTCAGCTTGCAAGGTGACAGCCCTCCTCCCAGACCACAACAGAGACCAAGTCCACAAATGAAAGTGACCCGCTTGCCGAGGGCTCTGGCAGCCCGCACATGATCATATGGTCCCCAGAGCCCTGGTCGATCATATGCAAATATTGTTTGCATATTCATCAGGATGCCACATGGACAGTATAAGCTGCTTTAATTATTTTTAAAGGAGAAACACAGCCGTCTCTGGCACAGGCACCCACCGGCTCTGCTGGCCACCGGTCTGGAAATTATTTCAAGACAAACATTAAAGAGGAATGGAATCTGTTCTGCTCTGCCCTCTGCTTAGCAATTAGAAGTCACCAGCCTGATTTAGGATTTTTATTTCTGATTTATACTTTTACACTTTTAAAAACACAGTGACATAATATATTTATAGCTATGCAATTAATAAGCTACTCCTGAGGTATAAATAACAAGCAAGCTAAATTGCATTTTATGAAAATATAAAAGTCCCATGAAGCATTTCCAGAGAAGTTATGCTCATTTAATAATTAAGCAACAGGAATATGGAATAAGAATTTCATTTGCAGCCTGGTAATGGGCCTTAATTTTTTGCATTTTGTACTTAGAGATACAATAGGGAAATACTATTTTTCACCCAGGGGTATTAATGGAATAAATAAATTGGTGTTTATATAAGCTCTTGACTTTTAGAAGTCTGTATGTAATTTTTTCATTCATAAAGTGAGTGGGTTTTTAAAGCTAAATCTTTAAGTAAGGCCGTCAATATTCTCAAATGTGAAGCCATGGGAAATCAATCAGTCAATCAATCTATCATCTATCTATGTGTGCATGTATCAGGGTTTGGTTGCATCATTAAAATTCTTTGGTCTAGTCGAAAACAAAGTTATAGCTAGTTTCTTTAAAGACTAACTCTTTAGTCTGCTAACCCAAAGAATAAAACCCCCGAAACGACAAGAATTCTAAAGACCTAAGGAGGACTTGTGAAAGCCGCTATTCAAACTAAAATTAGGGAGTACTTCATACACAACTGCAATTCCCAAAGGAAACGATCACAAATGGAATAAAAACGGCATAAAGCCCTCATCGGAGGCCTGGGGCGTGGCCCAGATGAGGCAGGGACCAAGTCAGATCCTTTTAAGGACCCCGTCTCTGCGGGGAGGGTTGCGTGCGGTTTCCAGTCTGCTGGGCCTGGTGACTGCCACCCAGGGAGAGGGCCAGTCTGACTGGGTGGAGGTCTCATCCCATGGCGGAGCTCAGGGCTGTAGCTGGAAAGGAGGAGGGAAATCCTGGAAAGGAGAGAGCCACAGTGAGGCAGCCCTAAAATCCACATTAAATTTCCCTCAGAACCTCAAGCTACATTTTTGAATTTTGTATACATGCAAGAACCCAGAGGAGAGAAGCATCTAGAAGCTGGAAGAGTCGGGCAGAGACTTCAGCTGCTACCTCTACAGGGGAGCAGAGCTTGGAGCACACGTCCCAAATTAGAGGGGCTCAGCAAACACTTTCCATCGAAACCCCAGAAGTGCCACACTTTAGGGGTAAAGAGCAGGTCCCAGAATGAAGAGATTTTTCTTAGACCTAAGGGCAAAACCTAAGGAGAACCACTCTTAACAAAGCATACAGCCAGGCTTCCACAAGTTCAAGGTGATCTACCACTTACCTACCTGCCTGGTGGAATGAAATCAATACTCCCCCAAGAAAGGTAGTAGAATCTAGTGTCTCTATGCTGTAATACCCATGGTATTCAGCAGGCGGTTAAAATGTACTGGATCTGAAAGAGACAGGAAGATGTGATTCATTCAACAGAAAAATCGGTTAATAGAAAGTGACCCCCAAATGAGCCGGATGTTGGAATTAGCAGACAAGACATTTATATAGAGCAGCTGTTATAACCATGTTCAAGGATTTAAAGGAAAAAGAAGCAGGTAACTGGACACTATGTATGTGCGCTTTTGTTGGGAAATGCAGTATCTAAAACGAAGGATTCACTGGGTTGGCTTAACAGAATTTGGAACTAGCAGAAGCAAGGGTGGGGAACTTACCAAAAGATCACAGCCATTATCCAGTCGGAAGACTAGAGGGGTAAAGACTGACATAATGAACAGAGCCTCAGTAAGTTACAGGATGATCATGAATTCCCCAGTATTTGGTGAAATACTGACTTTTAGGTCCTGGAAATTCAGCAAACCCTAAGCTGAACAAATACGGAGAGAACTCCACCCAGGAACTCCACTGTCAAACTGCCGAAAACCAACAGTAAGGAAAGAACCTTCCAAGGACCCAGAGAAAAGAGACACTCTCCATAGAGGGGGACCCCTGTAGGAATTACCACTGACCTTCCGGAGAAGGCCTGGAGGCAGGGAACGGCATCTTTAAAGGGCCGAAAGGAAAGTAACTGCCAACCAAGAATCATAGGTCCATTTAAAACAGTCTTCCAACACAAAAAGTGGAATGAAGACATTTTTGGATATGCAGAATCTGAGAGAATATGCTGCCAGGAGACCCTCAGTGCAAGAAATGCTAAAGGACCTTCTTCAGTCTGGAGGGAAGTGACCCAGCAGGTTAGCTGGCTCTTTAGGAAAAAGCCAAATAAATACATGGGAGTCTTAGCCACTGCTAAATGGCTCTAAAACTCAGTAAATAGAAAAACCATTCATTTAAAATGTTCTTGTCTCACTGAAAGACAACAGATGGTTTAAAGTAAAAGTGATGATATCGCATCGTGGGTTTTATAATGCATGTGTGTCTACATAAACTACATCACAATGGCACAAATGAGGGAAATGAAATGGATACACTGTGGTGCAAGTGCCATATTCTGGGTGAAGCGGTACAACCTGAACTCTGCGTAGCCCATGATCCGTTACAGGTCCCTGTTACAATCACTGGAGCTAAAAGGATGAAAGCAGAATGATAAAAATAGTCCATTAAGGGGAAGGCAAGAGGGTCAGGAGTGAAGAACAAATAGAAAACAGGGACAATGGCAACAATGTGAAGCTCAATGATTTTATGTTAAGTGAAAAAAAACCACACTAAAGAATACACATTGCGTAAGTTTTTAGGGATAAAGAATTCAAGATCAGGCAAAGCTAATAGAAACCAGAGCTGTGGTTGTGTATTCTGGGTGGGGTCTGGTAGGAGGAGACAGGAGAGAACTCTCCGGACTAATGGAAATTTATAGCTTGAGTAAGGTGTAAATTAACTGGGAGTGTACGTTTATCAAAATTCACGTCATTGTACGCTTAAGATGCGTGCACTTCTCTGTATGTAAATTTTACATGCAGCTTTTGAAAGCCTCAAATCAAACTGCCTGGCGAGGTCTCCGATTGTAAACTTTGATCAACAGAGGGCGCTCCGAGCTCACCAAACACGCTTTAGGGACTGAGCTGCACGCGATGCAAACGGGACCAGCTCTGGCTTCTGCCTCCCAGGTGTACCTCGCGGCTCCCCAGTAGCTCGCCCTTGACACCCCACCTTCCCCACCTGCCCCGTGTCCATTTCACCAGGCCACAGGCTGCGTCTCGGCTGATAAGCGGCGCGCAGCTGCTGGCGGTGCTACGTCCCGCGGCACCTGCCCGGAGTGCAGCTGCGGCCGGAATCTGGCGTGGGCCTGCCTGGAAGCGAACCTAAGGTCTGCTCTTGAACCCAACGGCCCTGCCCCAAGCTCTGCTCTTGCCGTGATGGGAAGTCGGGGTGTAAAGCAAACTTCCGCACTGCTCCCTACGTCTTCCTTTTGACCCCCCAACTCCGCTGTGGTGACTGCGAAATATTCCCACGCAAGGGCAGCGGCGGGCAGGAGGGTGGATGGATGGCGGCACGAGGGAGGCACAGGAATTTTCCCGGAGGAAGGCAGGGTGTGCGTGTGTGCGCGTGTGTGCGCGTGGGGGGCGTTGCCCCGCGGTTCCAGCAGCCGGGAATGTGGTCTTGCCCCCTGCACATCGCCCACGGGAGCTGGCGACTGCAACGCCCCAACCCTCTCTGCGCCCTCGCCTACCCCCAGGCCGGGTCTCCCGGGCGCCGAGATGCCATTACACCTCACGTGATCCCCGCCCTGGGCCGGTCCTTCCAGAGGCGTCTCGCAGGGTGTTAATTAAAGGTCACAACAAAACAGACCTGCTGGCTTACCAGAAGAAATGTACTCCCGGGAAATGAAAAATGACACCCTGGAGCAGTCACGTGTGGAGCCCACATATGCCGGCTTCCTGCGCTCCTGGGCGCCGCGCCGGGGTGGGTGGGGGGTCCGAGGGGGGCGATGACCGGTGCTCCCCGGACCCCGCGGTCCCCAGGCGCGGAAAGACAAGGAAGGAGGGTGCCGAGGGGACCGGCCCGGCGAGGGCAAGGCCAGTTCGCACACACCCTCCTTCGCAGGCCCGCGCCGTCGCGCTGCGTGTGTGCAGCGCAGCGACTCCCTCAGTTTCCCCTGCCCCGCAGTGCCCTCTGGATCCCGGGCTCACCTGCCCCAGCGCCGGGCGGCTGGGCCCCTCGCACATAGGGGCTGGGCGGGCGGGGACCCCCGTCCTCCAGCTGCGGTTGGGAGGGTGGTCCCCTGGCCGGCCGGGGGTCGGTAGGGCCATTCCAGAAAAGGCTCGCAGGGCAGCTCTGGGAGAACAAAGGGCGGGGGGAGGACCTGGCATGTTTGCGGACTTGTTTGTGACTCAATCCCTTTTACCCGGCGTTTCAAAGGCAGAACTGCAAGGCTCGCCTGGAAGAGAAAGAACTTGGGGGCGGGGGAGGCGCGGGCACATTTCTGTCCGGCCCCGCTGGCTCGGCGCGGCCCCTCGGCTCCAGGCGCGCGCAGCGGTGTTTCATTAGAGCCCTGGACACGGGCCACTCACCGGGAACTTCCCCGCAAGGAGCGAGATTTACGATCCCCCACCCCCAGCAGGCTCTCGGCCTCTCAATGTCAGGCGGCAGCGCCGCAACCTAAAATGGAGCCCGGTCGGCGCGGCGGCGGCGGCGGCGGCAGCCAGGCGGCGGGGCCTCGGGTCCCCAAGCTCTGCGTTGCGCCCGGGCGCACACGCGCGCCCTGACCGGGGACGGCGCCTGGCCCCGCCGAGCCGCCCCTTTCCCTGCCCTCGCGCAACTGTCAGGCAGAACGGGCCGGCGGATATTGGCTCCGCGCGCCGAGGCTCCTCCCCGAGCCTGGATCTTTATATTTTGGGAGAATTTCTTTGAACTCAGTTACCAAGCTGCGTGGAGGAGACAAGTTCCCACAGCTGGCTCGCTGGCGGGGGCAAGGCGAGGGCTCGCCCACCTCCTCGGCGGCGGCCACGTGCCCTGATTGTAAGCCTCCTTTTCCCTGGTGGAGGAACACGGACTTACTTGGCCGAGGGAAATGCCAATTATCTGGATGTGACCGTGAAAAGGGAACGTGTGACTGGAGGCAGAAGAGGATGAGGAAAAGCAGTATTTGAAGAAAGGACAAACCGCCCGCTCCAAAGCTTTCTGCAAATTGGCGATATTACTTCTGGGGCCCATTTGATTTTATCCTTCCTCCCCCCAATTAAGAAGCCTTGACTCGAGGGCCAAAAGACAGCCCCCTATAACTGGGGGACCCTTCTGGGTCGGGAGACCTTGTGGATGTAGTGCTGCCGGAACATTTAGACACTCTCTTCTGGAAAAGCCACCATGAATTCGGTAGCTGGGAATAAAGAGAGGCTTGCGGTTTCCACCAGGGGCAAGAAATACGGGGTAAGTTGTGACGGGTACAAGGCGGAGAGGCGTCTTCAGACCCGCGTCGGCCGGGTACCCCGTTTCTGGGAACCACGCGGCGCTGCAGGGCGGCCCCGACTCTCCGCCAGCTGCAGAGGCGCCGCCGCCGGGCGTGCGTGCGCGGAGGCAGGTCTGCCCGCGGGGTCTCCCGCACACTCGCCTTGCCGTGGGGATTTTTTCAGTCCTCTGTGCCTCCCCTTCTCCACACCCCTAACTTTTGCAGCATTCCTTCACTTAAAGAGAGAGTTATGCCAAAAGGGAGGGTTTTCCATGAATTCTCTGCCGTTCCTTGGGATGTTTTCCCTGTACCTTTAGGATCCAGAGGGCCGTACCCCGAATGAATGAATAAAAACCAGAAGTCACAGCCACCTTACCCCCCCCCCCCACCCCTAGGATAGCGGCTTCCAGGATCTTGAACCTGGGCTCTTGCTGGGATGAGTGTCGGGTTCAAAAGCGCCGGGCTCTGAATCTATGGGTTCCCCCTGCAGATACCATTGCAATCCCCTGCGCGAGCCATCTCTGTCTCTGGCACCCGGGCGTTGGGGACTTGATTAAGGACAGTTAACCAGACAGATTTGGCCACAGAGCTCGAAGAGGTCCCGAACGCGTGCCGTTGGCGCTCGGCCGGGCCCTCGGGGGTGCGGAGACCCCCGGGAGGGTGCCCCTGACACCGGCGCGTCTTTCCCCGCAGGTGAATGAAGTCTGCTCGCCCACCAAGCCCGCGGCGCCCTTCTCCCCCGAGAGCTGGTACCGGAAAGCCTATGAGGAGTCCCGCGCCGGCAGCCGGCCCACCCCCGAGGGCGCAGGCTCTGCGCTCGGCTCGTCGGGAACCCCGTCCCCCGGCTCGGGCACCTCGTCACCGAGCTCCTTCACGGGCTCCCCGGGCCCCGCCTCCCCAGGCATTGGCACCAGCTCGCCGGGCTCCCTGGGCGGCTCGCCGGGCTTTGGCACCGGCTCCCCCGGCTCGGGCAGCGGCGGCGGCTCCTCCCCCGGCTCTGACCGCGGCGTCTGGTGCGAGAACTGCAACGCCCGCCTGGTGGAGCTGAAGAGGCAGGCGCTGAAGCTGCTGCTCCCGGGGCCTTTCCCGGGCAAGGTGAGCGCCGCGCCGCGCGGGCGGGCAGGAGGGCGGCTCCGGGCCGGGAGGCGCGAGCAGGACGTGGCGCAGGCCTTCCGCAGCCTCGTATCCCACGGCAGCTGCCCCTCCCGCGGCCGAAGAAGCCCTGGCGGCGCTGCGGGCTGCTCGGCATTCCAGGGGGTGCTGGCGCCAGTGAGCAGCTTCGGGCCTGGGGCTGGGGGCGAACCCGCGCGCCTCCCAGGACACCGTGGGGCGCAGAGCTTGGGGACCTTCCATGGCTTCAGGCCTCATCGCCCACGGGGGATGCCCCAGGTTACTTGTCCTGGTGTCCTCCACTCCGTAGGGTCCCTTTCTGTGACCCCCGTACCTGCCTGGCCGTCCTGTTGGACTTGCGCAGTGCTGGGAACCTCCCCTCGCTTCTCCGCAGACCTTTGCTGAGCGGCAGGCCGGAGACGCGCCGACACCGCCTCCCGGAGCCTTTCCTCTTTCCACCCCGCACCAGCAGGGCTGGCCCGCTGGTTCGATTTTTCTCCCCACCCCACCCCTGGCCCTTTGCAGAAACGTCCGTGGTAGAAGTAAAAAGCGCAGTCAGCGTTTCTCATTGCCTGTTTGTGGTCCTTCCTTCTTCTCAGGATCTCACGAACAGAAACACCCATTGGAAAAGCCAGCATTTCCCCCTAACGTCTGTCTGGGGAAGATGAAGGGGCGGTGAGCTCCTCGGAGCCGGCTACCTGCCCGCCTGCTCCCGCGCCCAGCTCGCTGGGTTCTCCATGGCAACCCTGCCGGCCAGTGTGTGCCAGGTGCCCCCAGAGTGCAACACAATGCGATTGTATTTGCGCTGTTGGGCCCAAGTGCTATCAAATGATAATATTTACTCTTGCACTTCAAAGAGTTTTTATCAGTGGTTAGAAATAGCAAGAACACAGTGGATTGCGGTGAGGTTTCTGATAGGGACTGTTCAGTGCTATTTTCTAATGTCCATTTCTGGGACTTGGAATACCATGATGTCCAGCAGTGGGCTTTAGGAACGCCTGCATCTGCTGGCCTCCTCTGCTCATTCAAATACACGCACGTGGATGTTTCCGTAGGCAAGGGTTAAATTAAATGCACGCAGACACTGTGGAATTCTCAGTGTGGAAAATTGCCACGGAGAGAATTGGTGTCGTGAATCCCGAATTTGTCTCAGGAGTAATTAACTTGTGCATTGTTGTCAGCACGACATTTTGGTGGTTTGATGACAGAACCAGCATGACACCCCAAGAATAAATCCCAGGGCTTCTAAAAAGCTTCTTTGACTCCTTCACGGTTACCCTGTTTCTTCACTCACAGGCTTACTTTTGATCGCTTATCAATATTCTTTGATTTCCTGTGTCATTCAAGATACTGTGTTAAGCACAGCAATGAAATATCAGGTACCCCCAGTTCTTGCCCACACGGAGCTTATATTCTAATGGATTATCCAGACATTAACCCCGGGATGTACAATCCCTAATTTAGTCTTCCACCGAGAAGACTGTGGAGTGACATCGTGTGAGCAGACTAGACCGTGTGGTACATGTGGGAGAACCTTGGTTCTTGAAGATATAACACCTGATATCCGGAAGTCCTAGCAAGTAGCAGCCTACCAGATCATCCTAGAACATTTTCAAGGAGCCGTGCTTACAAGAGCTCCTTGTTTGAATGCTCTTGTGCGCAAAGGTAAATCAAAATATATCCTTCTTACAAACATGGAGGAAGAGAAGGAAACCCAGATCAAGAAGAAACAAATGCTGAGACGTAAATCCATCCGTCGTGTTTTGTGGGGTCAAGTGCAAAGCAGGTTTTGGGTTTGGGGGACGCAGCCCGGGAAATTCATTCACAGGGCAGTTGGAGGCAGCTGGGTTATATTTGCTAGTTTCAGTCACGTGATGGAATAAAAGAGAAGCTGGGAAGCCGCTCTTGTTGTCAGAGTCCAGAAGGAGGGTTGGATGGGCCACACCTCAAGTGCTCTGGTCACTCCATGCTAACGGTCACACGGGATGGTTCTTGGTGCACACGGGGACGTCACACAGCGCCACACAGCTGCCTGGGGCTTTCTGTGAGACCCAGCACCATGGCGCTGACCTTTGGTACAGGGGGCGCACGATGAATGAGAACCCATGGTGGTCTGAGTTATTTTATCGTTAGTGCCAAGGCGTGGGACCTTGATTTTCACTGAAAACAGTCTGTGTGTCTCTGGGAATCATAATTTCAGTTGTTTTCATTTCAGAAGCGCTGGTGCCTCAGATTTAGGCTCACTTCTCATTGCACCTTT